AGCTTGTACGTATGGTGCCTGGCACCTGGATAGCTTGGATGACAATGAAAGTAGCAGGGATCTTGGGACCCTGCCCCTGTCCCTTGTCGAGATCCATTCCCCAAGCCCCTGCTTCTCCACTGCACGACGGGCGGCTCGACAGCGCGCGGCAACGGGGTGACAAAACAGATCGCCGGTATAGCTAAGAATACTCACTTTTCCAAACATTAGAAATGAACCACAACTCGTTATCAGTACTTAGAATACTATTTTAATATAGAAGTTAGAGTACATAAATTTACTAGATTTATTATATATTTTTACTGCGTGTTAAAGCTTGAAAATTTCGCCTGACACTTTGCCGTGCGTAGTAGGCTACCGGCGGTCTGTTTTGTCACCCTGATGGCGCGGCTGCTGGAGGAGCTTAGGGTGGTGGGTACGCGTGCCACACACCGACACCCCACCAGGCGGCTAGTGGGTCCCGAGGGGGTTAATAGACCGCTACTAAGCCTCCCTACCTGCTATAGAAACCGTCACCTACCAAACTAGGATAGGGTCGAATATAAGGAATAAATATAAATTAACTCTTAAGCTGCTAAAGTCTAGCTGAGTGATAGGTCTCGCTTAACTAAGTGAGGCGGCACTTAAGAGCTTGGACCTTGAAATCTAGCGAAATGTCTATAAGAGAATCGGCCATGTTTTCCGCTATCCGCTTACCGCGTTATAGGGCTTAGGAGCTGAAACATCAGCAGACGAATAGACTATAATACTCCATAATATAATAACGTGCTTTGCCCTCTTGATTGCGACGATTAGCGATTCCACATAGTCGCACCCTATGTTCTATGCCCTATGCATGCCGCTTATTACTAGGTGCGAGACGAAAGTATAACATCCTTTGTTAAGCCCTTTTATATAATATGATTATATAAGACGGTTTGCCCTATGCACTGCCGTATTAGCTTCCATGTGAGGAGAAAGCACTTATATAAGAAAGAATTTAGTAGCAAGTCTCAGCTTCTATAATACGAAGTCATGACTGTCGCTACAATGAAGGTCATCGTAGCGACTGTGTTTGCTCTCGCCCTTGGGCTAACTACGGCGAGTCTGGGAGTAGATAGTTCGCTCATCGGTGGAGCCGATAGGCCGCAAAACCCGAGCTGGTTGGCTTTGCAAAGTACAGTTGTAGGACAAAGCGGGCGCGGCGCGGTTGAGGCAGACCACAGCTAGTAGTTATGGGGCGGAGTCATGAAGCGTACGTATCACAGAGGACTCGTTGAAGTGCTCATGGCGTGCAGCTGTTTACTAGATACACGTTCTAACACAAGGTACCAATTCAATGTCAAGGGGAGGCTCCGAAGCCAGTATGTCTGCCTGGGAAAAGCCATTATCTGAATTCCGTCACATGCTAGCTAGATCACCCATTTATAAAGCATATAACAAGAAATATGAAATGATATAGTTAGATTTCACTGCACGAGACGTAACCCGATCTCCCGAAACGGACCCTATTCCTATAACTGATATAGCTAGGCAATTCAGAGATTGCCTAAGTCAACTTACGCGCGTTCGACATTATAGTAGTACGCGCTAGAAAGTAAGATTGCAGCATATTGCCCTATAAACGACACATCTCTATTCCCAATATATTCTTCGATGAGTATTCGACTGCACGGGTAATGTATATCGCGAGCCTGCGATGCTTGATTTCTACCTGCCTATATATATACGTACCGTGATGCCCGCCTCATATTTTGCAACAGGAGGTTTATGTAAGAGTTCCATGCAAGGAGTTAACGATGTAAAGTGAGAAACAGCCTTAAAACGAGCCGTGTACCCCATCTTTACGAGAGCCGCGCGGACCGAGGGAGCTCCGCAATTGAATCTGCGCAATGCCTGCCGACGTCTAGGGCTTAGCGGCAGGCAACCGATCCGAGTTCAGAAAGAAATGTACTCAATCTAGATGCTGTCGGCAACACTAGATAAGGAATTGATGAAGAAGCTGAACTGTGGATGACAAAACTTTGTTCTTTCTTTTCACGCCGGGAGTGCCTGAATTGACAAAAGCACCGATGTCCTGCTGCGATTTAGCGTGATAGTTCTTAGTCTTCGGTGGGTTATCTCAGGCGGTGGTCACCAATTGGCAAACTCCGAGGCGCGAGTAAGTAGCAGCTGGTTCTTAGACAATGGAAGCCTTGTTTTAGAATGGGGCCGAGACAGACGGCTTGTGATTGGCGCAGCCGCGTAATTGCCTTCTTTAGGTAGCTGCTGACCAGAGAGCGAGTAATGAATATGGGAACGGAGTCAACGGAATGAGAAGCGTAAAATGATGAGCCCCGCGACACCCTCTTCGGGGCGGCCCCTACATTTGCGCCCGGGAGCGGATTTAGAATGCCACGGGAGCCTATAGAGCCACGGGTCCATATAAGCACACGGGAGCTAATAGGGCCACGAGTACCCGTGGCTATAATATTTCACGGGCACCCGCGGAGATTATATCAGCGCATTCCTTCGGACAACGCACTGCACCTAGAGGGCAGTTTAACTAGTGCTAAAAAAGTCCTACTTGATATAGTATTTAGCCTAAATAGTTTACGCTACTTATAAAACCCTTTATTATTTCCTTTATTTTAGGCGATAAACATCACTGATATCAGGGCTCCCGCTGGTCCCCGTATAAAGACCAGGCGAGAATAGTTATTAGCGCAACACGCTTGCGGCAGCAACCGCGGGCGCATCAAGCCAGCATCATCGTGATCTCGCTGACGGGTATCGATTCTGACAAAGAGGATGATGGTAGGGAGAGTATTCCAGGGGCAACTAGTGAGAACATAGACGCGGTACGCGCTCTGTTAGCGGCCTATTTATCCGTAGAAGGTTCGATAGCATGTCCCAATGCCTACTCTAGGGCGTAAACGGACGTAAATAATTAAATTAAACTAAAAAATTAAATTAAATTAAGTCTGCTATCTTTCCGTGCGTATATTGAAGTATGATTTTTGACCATATTGTCTATATTCTACGTCAAAAGAGAAAATGCTCTACTGTTTACACTTATCTGATTCCGCTGCCTTAATTTTGTAAAGGTAGCTATTTAGTCGATTGTTGCTAGTTTGAAGATGAACTTAAGCGGATCTGAATTAAGTGGAGGCGAGTACGAGTTACACGTGGTTTTTACTTGAAACCTATTATTACTCTATACTAATGCTAGGATTATTTATTCTCAACTTTAATATTACAGCGCGGCAGCTAGTCATGGCCTGAAGAATTCGTGCGCTTGAAGACTCGTATTGCGATCTTGTAAACTATCCCTTTAGCAGTAGAAAGGGAGCTCTATAGTCACGGCACCGGGCCGACTACGACACGGGAGCCAAGATCTTCCTTGGCTTGTTATTTACGAGGTACTGGATAGGCTATTAAACCTAGTCAGTTTATTATAATAATAATAAAATCAAAGACCTGTTCACCTGCATGTCCGAAATTAACTATGCGCAGAATGATCTTCATGGACCAAGCATTGCACAGGGCCAGAGAATATAAATAGGCTCAAAAGCCTCATAATCTAGCCAAGTTTGTAGAATGATCCATCTCCATCTTTCTATGCTTACCATCATTTGTTGGAGAGGTCCTTACAACCAACCTTTTCTTTCTTTAAGCAGCCATGGTTCGTCCATCAATCTGGACCCTAGCGTGGACTGCCACGGCGGTCGCTTCCTCGGCCTGGGCAGCAGTAGATGGCAACAAGACACTCGACAATACCGTTGTCGGCGCATTCATCATCGAGTGTGAGACCGGCCAAGACATTGAACCTCTGACAAAGGCCATCCAGCAGCAGGATGGCCAAGTGCGTCGCAAGTTTGACTCTAAGATCTTTTACGGAATTTCGGTCCAACTGGCGAACGCGACCGGGGTAACGAGTGCCGAGATACGGAACATCAAGGGCGTCAAGGAGATATGGCCCGTGAACTTGATGAGCAGCACAGCGAGCGACATGCCCGGAGAGCAGCCAGAGAAACAGCAGTCTGGACACCAGCAGGCACGTTGGAGCAGTGGCCTTGCATCCCGCGCCGCCGGCCAAAGCCTCGAGTCCCCGTGGCATCATGTCTTGACACAGGTGGATAAGCTTCATGCGGAGGGCCTTTCTGGTAATGGCATTAAAATTGCCCTTGTCGACACGGGTGTAGGTCCCCGCGATGCAGATTCCACGAGAGAAGCTTTGAATCACATGGATACTGACGTGGACGGTGGCAGGTCGACTACACGCACCCGGCCCTAGGCGGCTGCTTCGGCCAACACTGCCGAGTCGTCAAAGGGGATAACTTGGCCAAGGACGGGAAAAAAGGCGACCCCATGGACTGCGTTGGCCATGGCACTGCAGTGGCTGGTATCCTGGCTGGATACGATGAGAAGGGTGGCTTCGTTGGTGTAGCTCCCAACGCGACGCTGGCCGCATATCGAGTCTTGAACTGCAATTCAGTTGGGGAAGAGGATGACATTGTAGCCGGTTGGCTCAAGGCATTTGAAGATGGTGCCCAGATTATTGCCTCGTCTACTGGCTTCCAGGGCTCTGGATGGGCACATAGTCCTGTCGCAGCCGTGGCCTCGCGCATCGCCGCCAGCGGTGTGCCTTGCATTGGCGGCAACGGTAACAATAAGAAAGCAGGCCTATTTTATGCCATGAGTCCTGCGACTGGGCGAGGTGTTGTATCCGTCAATTCATTTGCCCACAAGTTTATGACGCAGCAGGGCATGGACAGCAACGGTAGCGTTGCCGTCGAAACGGCCGGCATGTCGCAGTTCTCAGCCTCTGGGCCGACCTGGGACCTCGACATTAAGCCCAACGTTGGCGCGCCCGGCGACGATATCCCTTGTCCGAAGCGGGGCGGCGGTTACGACAAGTGCTCGGGTACATCATATTCTGGGCCGCAGGTCGCCGGCATCGTGGCTCTCATCGCCGAGCGCCGTCAGAACTTTGACCCGGCGCTCCTCAATAGCCTCCTGATGGCCACTGCCGAACTGCAAAAAGACAACAACGACCTTATTCCGGTCATGCAGCAGGGAGGCGGCCTTGTCCGGGCTTGGGACGCCGCCTACGCCACGACGCTTCTGGAGCCAGCCAGCCTTGCCTTTAACGATACCGACCACCGGGTCGCGTCTATCAAGCTCCGCATTACCAATACGGCCAAGTCGGAGACGGTGTACCACCTCTCTAATGTTCCTGGCCGTACCGTATATGCCCGTTATTTCCGCTCATTTAAAAACCCCGAGTTTGTAGAAGCCCCCGCCACAGTCAATCTTGACAAGAGCTCCGTCACGCTCGCCCCCGATCAGTCAGCCACTATCGAGGTCTCGGCCGAGGACCCCAAGAACCTTGACTCGAACCTACTGCCGTTATGGTCCGGTTGGATCGCCGTTAATGGTTCTGATGGCAGCTCGCTGGCCGTCCCGTACCTGGGTCTCTCCGGCTCACTGCACGAGCACCAAGTCCTTGCACCCAATGGAGCCGAGCTTGCAGAATACCAACAAGGCTCGACAGGGCAACCACGGCCCCTCGCCGAGGGCACAGAGTTCAAATTTGTCGCTAACAAGGAGGGCGTCTGGAGCATTTCGGTGCCGTTTACCTTTGAATTGGAACTCGCATCGCCTCTTTTGCGCGCCGAGCTTGTGCCCTTGTCGCCTCCCCAATGGCTGGCTGAGCGTCTGACAGACAACAAGACTCTTTTGGCCTTTACTGTACAGGGGCTGGGTCGCTACTGGGACTCAGTTCGGAAGCCTACCAAGAAGTGGAACGGTCAACTCGAATCGGGCGACTACGGTCCCAAGGGCGATTACAAGTTCAAGGTGCGCGCCTTGAGAATCTTTGGCAACCCCAACGTTGAATCAGACTGGGACGTTTCCGAGACGGTCAAGTTCCAAGTTGGTGAGCTGGCGGGCGATACGGCCTGCAAGAGTTACCAATCTGGCGGGGAAAAGATGCACGAGAATGCCCTGTTCCAAAGTCACGAGGAGTGCATGAAGTTCCATGGCAGTGTAGCAACAGTTCCGGTCAAACAATGCCGTTCCTCGGGACTGAAGGCTTTGGACGGTAAAAAGTGCCCAGACGGTACGACTCTACAGGAGTGGAAGGCGGGAATGCCGTATCCGAAGAAGGGCGCAGATGGATGTTACTATTTTGACACGCATTGTGCGTAAAGAGCTTCGTCAATGACAGCGCCGTAGATGATGGCCTGCTTTGTCGAGTTGAGAGTGTGTACGTCCATTTCAGCGATTGTGACTTCCAGTCCGAGAGCCTTGTAGGAATTGACCATGTCTCTGGATCGAGGCGGATCGACTCTGTGCATATTGAAGATTTAGTTTCGGCATTCAATCGATGGGGGAAAGAAGAATGAATAGTTGAAAGTTGTAAGCCCTTTGCCAGCTGCAGACCTGTTTTACTTGCATGATGAGGGAAACTTTTTTTTCTTTACTCACCTAGTTGCTGCGGAAATTTTATTGATTGCTGTTGTGCCTATCGAGGCACTGATTTCTCATTGGCTGGGAGCCAGGAAAGCCCCATTTTTTAATTTGTATGAGAGCTCTTGTGTGTGGCCTCGACACACTGAGTTGTAGGATAACAATCAATCAAACAAGACGAATCAAGACCATCAACCTCACGATAATTATCGTTTATAAACCAGCAATTGCAAAACTGGTAGCCATTCAATACTCAGTTTTGCAAAAATGGCATCGCACGGAGCTATTTTTTCGGAAGATTCTGTCACGGAGGTGCTTTCTACCATCAGTCAGAGAGAGTGACGAAAGTTGGACGGGTGGTCTAGCTGAATCACTCTTGTTCCCAGTTCTTCACCTGACTATGCAGAGTGACGTGGCGAGAATGGAAGCTATCAGGCTGTGAGGCCTGCTAGGAAAGTATTATATCTTTTCCTCCAGCCACCTGTGTGATTTATCTCAGCGAAGCGCAGCCTTTCCGACTTGTACCATTGCTACGTGAATATACCTCTTTTTCCTTGCAATGTGAAGAAACCGCAATCTGGCCGATATCACCGCAAGGCCCCGCGACACAATGCTCACCAATATAACCGACCCTCTAACAGCGGCCGGCTCTATTCTGCACATCGTCACCACCGGTGTGCAGCTCGCGACGACGTTGCAAACATACATGGAACTGGCGCGCGAGGCCGAACACGAGCTACACGACATTGTCTTTGACGTCAACGCCACGGCAGCCGCCCTCAAGCAGCTGCACACCATCATCGACCCCGACAGGGACTTGAGCGACCGCACTGTCGCCGTCTTCAAGGGCGATGGCGTCCGCGAGATTGAGATGCTCGCGCGCAAATGCCACGCCATATACAACAACGTGACTCTGCTCATTCAGCGCGCAAGTCACTCAGACAGCGCCGAAGCTGGCCGAGACAGAAGCAGCAGCAGCGTCCCAGCGGCGGCGGTGGACGAGGCGGCGCTTGATCCGACGACTCTGCGACCGCTGACGTTGATGGGCAAGCTGCGGTGGCCGTGGCTGAGGCCGCGAATTCTGCGCTGTCGCGAACAGCTCAACTGGCTCAAGATGAGCCTCTTGTTCGCACTGCAGATCGCCAGTATCGCGCAGATGAGGTTAGGCGAGCGGTTCCTCATCGATGACATGTGCTCCCTTTGCTAACCGCATTGTGTAGTGGTAAGCGCCATGCCGAGACGTCGTGTGAAGTAGAGTTGAGACAGCAGACGGCAAGACAGCTACAGAAACGCCGCAACTCAATGCTACGTGGGTTTGCTGGGATCGATGCAGATGGAGGTGCCCAGGATGGACTGCAACGCCCTGTCACATCGAGCTCAGGTGCTGATGAATCCGTCCTCGGTGCTGTATTTTCAACAACCAAGGAAAGCATCAAGGAGAAAATCACAACTCCCATTTCGAATATGGATGGCCCGGGACAACGCTCCACGACATATTGCACACCGATGGGGGCTGAAACTAGTTCTGCCGACGTGGATACTCACACGACCACATCCCGTTGCCTCATGTCTGAACAAGGCCTCCCCGAGATACGTGACGCATCGGTACTACCAACATTCCCAAACGGGAGGCTTGATGCATTTGCAATTACTGCGGCTCCTACTACTTTCTTCGCCAAAGGAAGCGTCCCTGCGCCCGGAGAAGCCGTCGCTCAGAGCGGCAATCTATCACGCCACCCACCCGCGAAACCTACGGCAAACACTCGGAGCAGCGAACCGTCTGTCATTGTTAATCAGCTCCCATCCTACTACCTCAATCACTGGGCCGACCGCGTTTTTGGGCGGCAGAGCAAGTTCCGCAATGACAAGCAAAGCTCAACTTTAGAGGCCTACATTGCCGAAAACTTTGGTCGAGATGTCCCAATCAAAGTCCCATTTGGACATGAGCGTCTCATGTTTGGGCTGGACAAGGTCTTGAAAGATTGGCGCGGCGACCAGTGGTCCAACTACCTGGCCGCGAGTCCTCTGACGCGCCTCGCACTTGATGCCATATCCGAGGCGGCGCAAAAGGCGAGCAGCCACGAAAAGACATGCCTCGCGTTTAAAGAGTACAGCAGCACACAAGGTCTGCCGACGCCCTTTATGCTCGTCTTTTTCTCTCTGGAAAAGGCCAAGGACCCCGTCATTCTCTCTTTCAACGGGCGTCGATACAGCGTTCCTTTTGCCGCCTGCCGGACGCTGCACAGCGTAGAGGAACGCATCCGCGAAGTCTGCCGCAGCTCATCTGCGTCCACATTTTTGCCAACCTTTATTGCCGAGAAGCGCTACGAATTTGCGGACCGGAATGACAATATTATCCTGCCCTCGTTTCTCATAGAGTCCATCTATCCTGGCATGGAGCTTAGCTTGCTGCCGCGGCGCATGTTTATCGAGACGCCGTCCGAAGTCGACACTCGCCAGATTTGTACCATGACACGAGAGCCCCTGTTACATAAATCTACGAGCCGCCTGGAAAGACGAGGCCGGTCAGACACACTCGAGCACCGCGAACAAGTTGAGGCTGGCGAAAACGGCGAGCCTGTTGATGCTTGTTTGAGCATGGATGTACCCAAGAGAGAAAAGTTTCCCTTTAGCGTCCGCCTGGGGAGTACCATCAGGAGCCTAGGGCGTGTTCCACACGAGGCTGAGAATCCAGCCACTTCTCAGTCGCATGACCTCCTGCCCTCCCTACCTATGAGTTACGCGCCGCCGCCACCACCGGGCCCATCTCTGGCACCCGTTCCTGGTCCGATGCCTGGATTTCCGCCTGGTATACTCGGGCCTGCTGAGACTGACAACCTCTACAACTCCCATGAGGGCGACCGGACCTTTGCCAGCACTCCTGCCATGCTCATCCCCGGGCTCGAACCTCGCGACGAAGCTCCTCCCTGTCTTCCCCCACCCATACAACCAGCCGGCGACGTGAGCGGGCCCGGGACCCAGAGTCGTCACCGCACGACGTCCAAGTACTCGGATGTGTTAGGTGTTGACGACAGTGAGGCCCAAAGCCTTGATGACGACTTGGATCTGGATGTTTTGGATGTAGACGCAGAAATCATAAAGGGAAACATGAGTATAGACAAGTGGTTGGAACAGATGACCAACGTTGGATGCGCTGGCAATGAAGCGATTGCCACAGCGGAGCTACCTGGTTAGGTCCAACTGCTTCAGTCGCAACCTGCTCCCGTCTAATCTGTCTGTTGGGAAGCAAGTGGCTCAATAAATGAGCAAGTCACAGACGGCAGCTGCTCACTTGCCAGTGCTCTTCGAAACATCAGCAGCGTGCTACATGAGCGTGGATCATGTGCATCTTTTCATGTGTATGCTCTTTTCTTTATGCAGCAAAGCTCTGGGCCCTGCCATCGTTTTGATACGCCCGTACGTGTAGTCTTTACGGAATTGACTGTTTTGGATGTATAGCCTTGCACACAAAAGCTCGGCGGAAAGCATCTTTGCGACTCTTCGTTTGCATTAAGCAGCGAGTTCGGTTGGCGGAGCTGACGCATTTCTTCTGTCGATTTCGGGGCTGCAAGCCATAATGCTCCATTCATTGTTCGCTTCAATCCGGGCTTCCCGTAGTCTGCTTTGGCGTGACTGTTGCGTTGCTTGCAAAAGCAGATGCTAGTAAAGTTTTGCATGTCCGCGGCGATGCGTGTTTGAGAAAAAGGGAGCAACAAGGCGGTGGCTTCGGGCAGCCTCACCTTATAGGCCAGCCTTGTCCTCCAATTGTTGCCCCGAGCCCGATTTCCCCTCAACAAAGCTTCCGCTGACGCTTTGTCATCCAGCATTGCTTCGACTCAAAATTGCTACTCTTACCGCAAACGAATCTTCCCAGCTATATCGAGCATAGTCTCTTGAGCTCTTTCGATTAATGGCGTGTCTTGATATCCCAATACCCAAAAACTTGGCACGGCTAGTTAAAAATCCCCCCTTCTGCAGGCCCAGAGTTGAGGACATTCAAGTTTTAGACCTTATCCGAAAATTTGGTCAAGACTTGAACCGCCCTAACGATGAAATTGAGCAAGCTCTTAATCTCGCCTCAGGGCCTTCGGACGTCATGGTTATTTTGGAACGTCCACGTGAAAAGCACCCATACTCTGCGAGCTTTGACGCCTTTGTCCAAGACTGTCCAGCGCTTCGAGCAGTGAATGAGATGATACAGTTTGCCTCCAATGGCACAAGAAGCATACATACCGTGACTGTTGTCGATGCTTACACATTCAAGCCGCATTTAAAAAACAACATGCCAACGAAACCGACAAACGAGCAATGCTATGAACTGCTGGAACAAATTGTCAAGCTCAAAGCCCCCGAGTCTTTGCTTTGCTGTTGGACAGACAGCAAAAGTGGCGAAAATGGGTGTAATAACGCCTTTGTTCGCGGATTAATGTCAGTTGGTGTAGGAACATGGCCGATCATGGACCGAGTAGAGTTGGTCGCTGCTTCTCGCTCTTCAACCCTCGTCCGATCTTTTCATCCTTCCTATGCAGTATACCACAATGAGAAGAGGGTCTATGCTAGGATGCTCCTCGTCTGTCACTTTGTACTGGCATTTGCCGCATTGTCGGGTTTGAGTGCAGTTCCAGGGTGGATGCGCGCAATTTGCAACGGAAGCTCTGCAGAGCGCGGCGCTTTGACATCAGAGTGAGTCGTTTCCTCGGCAAGCTATGGGGATCTTGGCAGATGCTTACCTTCTAGAAGAGCACAAGGTAGTGGATTGCCTCATATGCCAATCAAGGGACATATCCGCTTCGCACTCCAAGGCATGCTAGGAAGCCGGGAAAGCCGCGTTGTTTTGCACACTGAGCAAACCAGCCCTAGGCTGTACAACGCAGATATCACTGACTTGGTGATCGAGCTGCTGTCTTTGCCTTATGCGGGTGGAAGCCTAGAGCTTGCCAGGCTATGTCTTCGTTGGCGAGACTATAAACAACCGCAGAAGAAAGAAATTCAAAAAATGCTCATCGACCTTGGAAGCGAGCAAGAATGGTTCCAGTCTCCTCAAACCGAGGAGTATCAAGCGCCTAGGGTCATGCTTGGTTTCGGAGATGAACCAGATGATGAAGAACTTGCGAATGGACTTCGCCCACTGGAAATTGATGATACTCGCCTCGGCCATTTTGACTATGATGAGGAAAAAGAGTTCTGGACAAATCACGAAAATACCCTTCTCCTTCACATGAAGGATCTTGAGCTGTTTGATAAGCTATCGGTAAAGCTGTTATCTGACATTGACCTCAGGCTACGGCTGTCTGCTGTTCTACAACCTGATGCAGCTTGCGCCCTTGGTTTGCGCGCTGTGGCTCTCGCAAAAGAGCATCATTCACTTCTACATGAGGCTATTACTTTTGTAACAGAAACTCGGACTCTGCTCCGCGATAGACTTGGTATTCACCCTGGCGAAGAGCGACCGCAACGAGCCCATTTGACCAGGCCTGATGCGCCCCGATTGCTCAGTCGTGCTGAGTCCTACACTGATTCCATGTTCCGTCTGACTACTAGTTGTCTCATGCACCTGTCTACGGTACTGATACAAGCGAGACTTCTCTGCGCTGCATCCGGAGTGACTGCAGATGAGGATGGAAACGAAACGGTGGACACGCTCTGTGAAGTTTCTACTTCACCCGAGTTAATGAGAAAATTGAGTTCGTCGCTGAATAGTATGTTTGACCTCCAAAAGCAGCTGGGCAGTGGCGGGACATAGGTCAAGGTTGAATGTCCGGTGCTTGTCCAGGCGAAGGGGGGTGGAAGCTTGTGTTGTGTCTGAGACGTACAAAGCCATACTGAGCAACATATGAGGTTCTCGAAACACATTCATATTGTATTTAAACAAATTGCGACAGACTGCGAAATGACTGTCTTAGTTGTAAGAACCAGCTTGCTAATTCTCGCGGGCTTAAGCCTCAGCCCCCTCATCGCCTTCCACAGACTTGGTGCTAATTGTACCCTTGTGTCAGTCTCATCTTGTTTCTTATTTGCTTGACTTTGGAACTCATGGGCTCACATTGTCTTGCCGAGCATTGACGCCTCGGTATACTTTCGTCCTTTGATAACTTGCTGCCGTCGTATGGTCTGGTAAGCATTGAAGCACGAGCCCTTGACAATCTCGCCAATCTCCTCTACAGTAAGGCCAGAGACCTCTGGTATCTCAAGGAATGTATTAAAAATGGCGACTAGACACCATGCGCCAAAAAAAAAAAAAAAAAAAAAAAAAACAAGAAAAGCTCCCCAATCGTTGAAGCTGGACAGGATCGAGGGCATGCTGTACTGCCCTTGGTTTACATGCCTCCCCAGATTCGACATTCGTCGTGGTAGATATGGCGGACTGTACGGCTTCGCCCGAGATCCAGACGGCGTTGTCAAGATCGGCTACCGCGGAACCAAGTTTACCAATCTCGGTGGGCATGTTGTGGATAGAATCGAGGGCAAAACGAATGGCTTTCTCGAGAATTGGAAGTGGAGGGCTCGGGACGCTGGCGTCAAGCCGTACAATAGCATAATGGAAGGTGTTGAGAGCGATCAATCTCTGTGGCGACAGCCACTGGTCAATCTCAATTGTGCTGCAAAGCAGCACTGCAGCAGACTATAGCAGCAAGATATAACTCGATGAATGAATTATTTGGTCATTCCTCGGTCTTCATTGATTCATGGCCACATGATGTTTATCGTGTTGAAACACTGAGCCTGTTGGTCATCGCAATTAACGAGAAGTCGGCGCTCCAAAGAGTGGATCGTCACGCATTAGAGACTTGTTAAAAATAGTACCCGAGATTAGATGACAGTTGCATCAAGGTACCTTTACGCCCGAAATTGTGGTGTGCGACGATATTGCACCATTCGTATGTTTCGGTGGTTGACTTTGGTATCGCAGCTGCACCTCCAGCCACATGTAAGATGAGCAGGGCAGCTCGTAAAAATACCTAAAATACGAGCGCATTCGTCATGTGCGTCGCCAGCCTCTCTCTCCGCATTGTCCAAGCCGCGGCACACCAGCCACAAGCTTGGCCTGCGGGTGTTGAGCCGTGCCCGTGGGCCTGGTAGCCTGGCTGGTAAGCTGGCTAGGGATTGGATGCAACTTGTTAATTATGGAAGCAACGGCGGCGTCCAAGGCTGATGCGTAAGTTTGCGCGGGCAGATTGATTTTCTTGATTGCGTCACTGGATGACACTGTTGACTTCCTCAACGGCTTTGCCTGATTGCAAGCTTTGTCAGCCGTTGTCGAACCAGCCGTTACGCAAGACAGGCCCCAATTGGAATCAATGTATTGCACACAAAGCAAAGCCGCGGCAGAAAGATTGGCGAGTTTGTCAGAAGATGCCTTTGATTAACCCTTGAGACCGCCCGAGGCTCCGGTCGATAACGCGGGGGCAGACGCCAAGGGACCCTCTGTAGGCCGCCACGTCCGGGAGCTGCATGGCTGTCATGGGGCGCTGTGATGGGGCTCTATGGGGGAATCCGGAGCGCTCTGGTACCTCCATCAGAGTACCTACCCACTGTATTCAAATTCCAGTGCTCCGACGCCTGTTTTATGGCTTGGGAGCCCACTGAATGGTCCCCTTCTAGCGCACCTAGACACTAAAATGGCCGCTAAAATGATCAAGGCAGTCACCAACTGATGTCCCTTCCGAGGTCCCCACTCGACAACCTGCCACCCTCCGCTCTCTGCCTCGTCATAATTAGTATCTAGTTAGCCCGTAAGCCTATTTCTCCAAGCTGCTTATCCCGCGCAGGCTGAGTATCTAGTTCTTGGTCTCGCGAACTTTTCCTCCTCTTCTTCCGACACTCTCACGTTGTTGCTGCATCATCACTCCAGCGCGGCCAAACGACGCACAGCTCCCGGCAGCGCAAACAGCTACCTACCCTTACCAACGAGGCCCTCATTCGCGCCTCGAGCCTCGCGACGGTGCCTGCGAACCGAGCCTCCCAAGCCGCCACCTAGCTGCATGGTCCGGTAGTGCACATTACCACGGCATAGCAAGCTGCATCGAGCCATTGACGGCCAGTGTCTCGTGTTACACCTGTCCACCATGGCCGGTATTGAGAGGCTCGAAGTCCACAGCAAGGTAAGCTACGCGCCTCGCCCCGCGCCAGCGGCATGAATCTATTAGCTAATCATTGCAGTCGTATATTGTGCGCTGGGTACGTGCCGACGCCGGCTCGACTCTCTCATGGAGCGTTCAGCCTCATAAGAAGTCCATGTATGTCGTCCCAGCATATTCCCTCCCAGCGCAGTCACGCCATCACTTGCCGAGGCTAATACTCCTGCAGTTATTTTGGCATCTTTAGGCACCCCGGCTCCGGAGCCACGACCCTAGTCTCCTCCTCTGCCGACGAGGGCACCCTCCCCCCCGAAATCGATGAGGGCAAAGCGAACAAAAGCAATAAGAAAGACACGGCTCAGGAAATCCTGTTGAACAAGGGCTTCAAACTAGTAAGATGGGTCGGCAAATGCGAAGCCGACAAGGTCTCAATAGGCACATACGATGTCCTTGATGGGCAAGGTGGCATGTACGGTCTTGTCTTTGACAATACATTTTCTAAGCAGACCTCCAAGACTGCCACCTTTGTCGTCCTCACGTACCCGACCGGCGCGCCTCCTCAAGGTGCCACCACCATTCCAAATCTACAGGTCCCCAAAACCAGAGATAGTCAGTCAAGTCTTGGCAAGAGTGGTGCCTTGACGCAGGATGCAGACCCTGGTGCATCTGTTGACAGCCTTCATAACCCGGATGTAACCGGCCGCCCAAGATCGGCTTCCAACAGAACTGATGGCAATGCTGCGTCTTACCACGTGGGCACGCTCTCCAAAAGAAGGAGAAAGAAGGGTCAGGGATATGCACGCCGCTTCTTCTCCCTCGACTACTCGACCTACACACTCTCATACTACTATAACCGCAACTCCTCTGCCCTTCGTGGCGCCATTCCGTTGAGTCTCGCAGCGATTGCCGCGGACGAGAGACGCCGCGAAATCAGCATCGACTCTGGCGCCGAGGTCTGGCATCTGAGAGCTCCCAACGCCAAAGAGTTTCAGGACTGGGCCTACGCGCTTGAAAAAGCCAGTCGTGCCGCTCGAGGTCTTGAAAGCAAACCTACGCAGACGTCTGCCAAGTCCAGGGTCCCCAGGACACGCGCTGCTGCCGGCCGACAACATGCTCCTGGTCAGGAGGAGGATGCCGAATGGCAAGAGGTCGAAACTCTCGTCAGCCGTGTCGTAGGTACACGAGATGCGCTTCGCCGCCTCACCAAAGAGGTTGCCGCACTACCTAAGCCTGTTGCAAGCCCTTCTGCGCTCTCCCCCAACACCGCGGCCGTTGGTGAGGATGGCGAGAGCTACTTCCCTGCGGCTGAGAAGAAGTCGTTCTGGCGACGCAAGTCTAGCGCGCCTGGAATGTCGCCGGCTCTTCAACAGGCCACGGCTTCCGCGTTGGCTGTTCCGGCGCCGGGCAGTGCGGCTGCCCTGGATACTAACGGATCCAAGGCAGCCAAGAGAAGATCAAAGAGCGCTGTTCAGGAGGAAGAGAGCCTCCAAGGTCATTGTCAATCACTTCTCGCAGACTTGGACTCGGTTGTTGCAGAATTCACCAGCCTGATCAGCACCAGCAAGAGACGGCGCATGGCTAGTGCCGCACCCGACCAAGCCACGTCTCGACTGAGCATGGAAAGCATTGCATCCACAGTTGACGAATTTTTCGACGCCGAGGATGCTAGATCAAGGGTTCTCAAGATCAATGAGAGCGACGAGGAATCGGCTGCCGAATCTGAGGAAGATGAAGATGATGGCTCTTCCGTCTCTTCAATGGAAGCTGAAGATGCCATTGGTCCCGACGGCACAAATCACCTATACCCTATCAAGTCAAAGACTCTCGCACCTCTACCCCTGACGGCAAAATTGGGCCGTCGACAAACGATTCCTCCCGCAACTGTACTTCCGCCAAGCTTAATCGCCTTTGTCAGGAAGAATGTTGGGAAAGATCTCAGCACCATCAGCATGCCAGTATCTGCGAACGAGCCGCTCTCCCTGCTGCAGAAGCTATCCGAGCAGCTCGAATACGCGGAGCTCTTGGACCAGGCGTCCAAGATGGCGGCCCCCACCGAGCGCCTGACGTACGTCACAGCTTTTGCCATTTCACAGTTTAGCAGTGGTCGGGCCAAGGAGCGTGCTATCCGAAAGCCTTTTAACCCTCTTCTTGGCGAGACCTTTGAGCTTGTTCGCGGAGACGACGAAACGCCTGGTGGCTTTAGACTCTTGGTCGAAAAGGTGCAGCACCGTCCCGTCAAGCTAGCCATCCACGCCGAATCTGCCCACTGGTCGCTAGCCCAAAGCGCTGCACCCGGACAGAAGTTCTGGGGCAAGAGTGCAGAAATTACCACCGATGGCCGTGTGCGCGTAGCACTGCGTCTTGCTGACGGAAAAGACGAGCTGTACTCCTGGAACATTGCCAACATGTTTCTGAGAAACGTCGTCATGGGCGAAAAGTATGTGGAGCCTGTAGGCACCATGACTGTTACCAACGATTCGACAGGCCACAAGGCCAGCATCGAGTTCCGCAGCAAGGGCATGTTTGGCGGCCGTTCCGAGGATGTGCACGTCGAAATTCTCAACCCCGACGGCAGCGACGCGGGCACAGGCCTGGCTGGCACTTGGACCACGAGCCTTCACAAGTCGGGCAAGGGCAAGCACGGCGGCGGCAGCGGCGGCGATGCGGTGTGGCACGTGGGCGGGCTGGTGGAGAATGCGGCGCAGACGTACGGGCTGACGCGATTCGCGGCGACGCTCAATGAGATCACGGCGATAGAGCGGGACAAGATGGCGCCGACAGACAGCCGGCTGCGGCCGGATCAGCGCATGGCCGAGGAAGGCGCACTCGACGACGCCGAAGCGTGGAAGCTAAAGCTGGAGGAGGCGCAGCGCGAGCGCCGCCGGCAGCTCGAGGATAGCGGCGAGGCGTACGCGCCGCGATGGTTCGTCCAGGTCGCGGAGGGTTGCGATGGCGGTGAAGGGGAGGAGTGCTGGCGCATCAAGACGGGCAAGGACGGCTACTGGGAGGAGAGGGCAAAGGGGTCGTGGACAGGCGTGACGGAGATTTTCAAAGTATAACTGGAAGTCAAGAAACAAAGTGGGGGAGCAAGTAGTTTGGATATTGGAGAGTGCATAGAAATCGTGCAATTGAGTTCTGTTTATGGTTACTTGCGGAAAAGAGAACTGATTTTTTTTAAGTACATGCATGACGTTCTATTCGTATACCGCTGTGATATGATATGATGCAAGCCACCAGGGGCATCTATGCATGGGAGGGTTGGGAGATGATCGGCTTAGTGCAGTAGGTGTTGTGTGACCCCTCATCCGATATGGCGTGGTGAATTCTGCTCGTTTTGAGGCAGGGACTTGTGGGATAGGGTTGAGAGTTGTTTATTTGGACTGTCGGGTAGCTTCGGACTTGAGGCTGTTTTGCCGCCACCAAGTGCGTCTAGTAAGGTCGAGGACCACATGGCCCTGGAATCGCCCAGTCCTTGTTCTGGCTCGAATGTACAATTATCAAAATCGAATGATTGTGCTCGTATAGGCTTTGGCTGAAGCATTGATGCATGTTTATAGATTTCTACCTGTTGGATCTGGTGACACCTACAGTGTGAGTATGCATAATCTCACATTGCGTGTCCTTCTCTCAAGACCATTTTCATCTCCACAGTCAAGAGAAAGACCCAACAGCGGGACACTCGGATTTTTCAAGCGTCACAATTTTTACAAAACTGCCCTCCTTCTCTGAGCTAACCAAATGAACCGGCGACCTCGTTGCGGCTTACAGCCCTCAGTGCGGGCAACGAAATGCAAAGAGTCGAGTATTTGACTGCTCTTATGGCACTAGAATAGCACCCTCTCTACTTTATCCAACATGACAAATATTGAGACCTTATTGCTGAACGGTGCGGCCTAAGTTGGCACAAAGAGCCGCAAACGAACGACTGCCGCGCGGCGGACATTGACCGACACCATCGTGGGCCGCGGCGGTGAGCATGCTTTGAACGTGGATATAACTCGCCGAGAATAAGCAAGGTGGCGCCCACCAGAGAATGTCATGAGACTGCGGAAGGGATGAGTTGGGAAGTCTTTCCACAGCGGAGCGCGGCTCCTTGGCTGGTTGGGAAAGCTTGGTGTTAGCATCAGGCCCTGGGTGCAAATGGTGCCATGCTGAATCGTATTATAGTGGGAGTACGAAAGATCTGAGTGCTTGTGTTGAAGCCAAGTATTATACACTCAAAGAGCTTTTTCGGCAATGGCCATATAATATCCAAGGCCAACGTGCCGCACAACAGTACCTTCACGGGAAGCGGGCCAGCTCGCGTGGGCTCACGCATGACGATATGACAATTTTAAAGATCTTTCGGAACTCTAGATCATCTGCTGTTTTCATAGCTCAAATACGATTGCTTGTTGGAGGCTCTGTCGGACCGCACAACGGCGACGACAACAAACTACCAAGGGCGAGGGAACGGCGGCTCGTCTCGAGCGTGGTACCCGGAGTCTGATGGCATCAATTGCCGAGGTAAGCGTTTTTAGAGGCTGGGATGGTGAAAGACTTTAAGTAGTAACAGACGTTAGTTGATAGCGTTGAGAAGAAACTCGACGTCGGTGGCGGTCTCCAAACCGCAAGATTGACAGCAAGCTTAACGGCAATAATAACATCTGGGAGTTCTTGAACCTTTAGGCGACGGCTTAAACTGCAAGATATAGCAGATAAAAGTAACGCCACTCTCGTAAGATTTTGATTACCTTTGGCACATGCACAGAATCTGCAGCCATCAACCTGTGTAAAGCTTGCAGAGCAGATGACTTCAATTCATCTCCAGCGTGGGGCCCTTCACGATGTTCTCTTCAAATGCATTGTTACATCCACTCTATTTATTGTTCCATTACGTATTCTTTTGTTGCAAAGCATTGTCTAATGAGCTTGTAAGTTGGAAAAGAATTCCGTCGCTAGAGCAGAATTTTCCGGGATTACGTATGCTCATAGCATCACAGCGCTATTATCCACTATCGGTATGCAGATTAAGATTGATTAAACTGCACAGAGCTCATCTCTGAGCATGCAGGGTTCGTCAAGGATGTGGTTGTGACCAAAAATCAAATTGCATGTGCGTGCATCTGGCGTCAATGGCAGAGAGTGGCCGGCGAGGCAGAAGACAATGGGCGGATCCGGGCATCGAAAGGCAGATGATCGTGCAGGTTTACTATTCGTCGTGATGAGCGGTAATGTGATACATTAGGGAGCGACGAACGAAATTGGGTGTCTTGATAGATGATGAGCCCGCGCGGTTGGTTGCCCCGCGGGCCATGCATGTCACCCTGTGCGACGCACTGTGTGATACGACGTTCAACGGTAGGTACGCACTGTATTTACCCGCCTACACTAGTGAAAGGCCACGCAATGCAGTCTCGTATTGGAGGAGTATATAACTCGGAACAATAGAATAGAAATAGAAATGTTTCGCTTGGCGACGGTGACTCGTACTCCCAGACGGACCCGGCAGACTCATCATGGGCGAAAATAACACGAGATATCATGACTGGCGTCTGTCTAAGTTACATGATCAGCGAACTTACGGCAGAGGGCATGCGCACGCAATCACTGAGAGGGACCTCGCCGAGCTCGCGTGTGGTGTGGCGTTGTCGCCTTGGAAGGCGACAATTGAGTTTAGAACAAGAAACCGAGTAAAGTTGCGCGCGCCGAAGAGCTGTTCCGACTGGTAAAAAAAACCTACAATCCAAAACGTGCCGCAGCTTTGGAGCATTGAAAGACTGGAGCGACGAGGCAGAGGAGGAGAGGGGGTTATTAGAAGGGGAGGGGTCGCATTACTACCCCCCACCCCCCATTGTGGCTATGCGAGACAGGCCAAAACAGCGTAGACGGTCGAAAAAAACAGTTTGAACACCAGGCACAGGAGCCAAAAAAAAAAAGAAAAAGAGGAGAGGCATCTGAGATGAAACACACGCGCTGGACCATAAAGACGTAGTCATTTAATTTTTTTTCTGGGGAGAGTGGTTCCCTTGTTTTTCCTCTCCCTGAGATTGTGACGAGCGGCCTATCCTTGTCACGCCGGTCCAAACAGAGAAATTTGCGATGCAGATGGCTGCGTCGAGAGTGGAGAATCAATCCTTCTAGGGAAAAAAAGCCAAACGGTATTCTGGAAAAGGAGTTGAGCAGAGACGGAGAACGATACAAGGTTTGTAAATCGCTTGATCGCGTCAAAAGAAGTCCTGATGGAACTCAATACCCCTGGCTGGACGGACCAGCGCAAGATCGGCTCGCCGGACCCTCGCGTGGCGGCCGCGCCGGGTCCCCCTTGCCCCTGGACCAAAAAAAAGCTGGAAGTGAACGAATGCTCTGTGTGATGTGCGTCAAGTCATGAAGGGGGGAGGATCTACGGAGAACTGGTAGCGAGGTACAAGGTGGAGTGGCGGTGATTACAGCAACTTGTCAGGTATTGCCGCAACACTTTTAGCATGGGCAGCACGACCCAAGCTGGCTCCAGTGGGTGGGCCTGCTTTGTGGGCCGCCCTGGCTTGCTGCGTCTGGCTATCGGTTTTGGTACCTGGCAGGTGCGCAGGTGCGGAACCAGTGATGGGCCTATGAGGCGAGCATCAGAGACAAATCTATAGGTACCTGATGGGTGGCAAGGTGGCCCGAATATCCGTACACTTTGTTACTGGTAGTGCTGCACTCTAAATGACCTTGCCGGCCACCTGAATGGCCAACCCATCTGGCGCTAACTTTGTCCCCCCCCGTACAGTCGCTGGTGAGCTTTGGCCTGATGGCGCCGACAAGTCAACAACCTCCCTGGCCTCCCCGTATTGCTGCTCGAGGTTGCAAGTATCACTGGTAACAGTTGTTAGCATAGCTGCACCGGCGCTAACAGTGTCCACCGCAGGCTGGGTATATTGAGGCTGTGCATTGGTTCTCCTTTCATTCCTCCTCGTCGTCACCTTTTTTTGCTTTCCCCAGGCTAGCGCGCTCTCTGCCTGCCCTCTACCTACCTACTCCGTACCATCCACCACACCCCCCTTGGCCTGCGTGTCTTGGGTATTTCATTTCTGGACTCCCTCTCTTTTTCAACCGCCTGCTTTCCTCCTTCCTCCCAATTCTCAAACCCGACGTGTCGGCAGCTTCATTGTTTTCCCCCAACTTCAGTCGTTTTTTACCATTTCAATTCTCCCGCTCTCGCTTTTGGCAACTGCTCCAACCCGCTCCTTGTTGGCAGCTTTTAATTCGATTCGATCGACGACTTCCTCTTCTTACGCTCTCTCCACCATCTGCCGCTTGTAATCTTGACAAACCAGTCACCCCACTCGATTGTCTTGAATTACCATTCACCAAGATCGTGCACATTATTACATCGTTAAGCATTCTATAACATAATCATCATGAAGGGTTTCGCTCTCCTGTCGGCCCTCGCCGCCGTCGGCCTCGTCTCTGGCTCCCCGACCAAGCGTGCCGACCCGACTCCCATCACCATTAAGGGCAACGGTAAGCACATGGATATGGCCCCGCGCCAAGCCACGCCCAGCCCCTTGGCTAACTAGATGACCTCATCAGCCTTCTACAAGGGCAACGAACGCTTTTACATCCGTGGTATCGATTATCAGCCCGGCGGTGACTCTGCCCGTGTCGACCCCCTCGCCGACAAGGAAATTTGCTCCCGTGATATCGAATGGTTCAAGGATCTTGGCGTCAACACCATCCGCGTTTATACCGTGGACAACTCGGCCGACCACACCGAGTGTATGGGCCTTCTCGCCGACGCTGGCATTTACCTTGTCCTTGATGTCAACAACGGTCTCTACTCCCTCAACCGCGCCGCGCCCGCTTTGTCCTACAACGCCGCTTATCTGCAGAGCATCTTCGCCACCGTCGCCGAGTTCGCCAAGTACAAGAACACTCTCGCTTTCTTCTCGGGTAACGAGGTCATCAACGAAAAGGGCAACGAGTTCAACGCCCCTTACATCAAGGCTGTCACACGTGACTTGCGCGCCTTCATCAAGGCACAGAACCTTCGTGCTATTCCGGTCGGTTACTCTGCTGCTGATGTCTCTGAGAGCCGTTTCCAGACTGCCGTGTACATGAACTGTGGTCCTGATGAGGTCCGTTCCGACTTCTTCGCCTTCAACGATTACTCGTGGTGCAACAGCGACTTCAAGACTGCCGGCTGGGACGCCAAGGTTAAGAACTTCACCGACTATGGCCTGCCCCTCTTCCTCTCCGAGTACGGCTGCAACAAGAACACTCCCCGCAAGTTTGACGAGGTCCAGGCTCTGATGAGCAAGGAGATGACGGGTGTCTATTCCGGCGGTATAATGTACGAGTACTCGTACGAGGAGTCCATGTACGGCATCGTCGACATTGATGGCAAGGCTGGCAAGGGCAAGGTCACCAAGCACAAGGGCGGTGCCGAGTACGACAACTTCAAGAAGTCTCTCAAGGACAACGCTGCCCCCAGCGGCGACGGTGGTGCCTCCTCCAACTCGCACTCCTCTTCGTGCCCCGCCAAGAGCTCAGACTGGAACGTCGACCCCAAGCTTCTGCCTGAGATGCCCAAGGAGGCTCAGAAGTACATGAAGGAGGGTGCTGGCAAGGGCCCTGGTCTGTCGGGCTCTGGTTCTCAGACTGCTGGTGACTCTGGTCTCTCCACCAAGAACGTTACCGCTGACGGCAGCGGCTCTAGCGGCAGCAGCAGCGACAAGGATAACGCCGCCGCTCTTTCTGGCTCGTCGATGGTTGGCACCCTGGCCTCTGTCGCCGTTGCTCTCGTCGGTTCCATGCTTCTGTAAAGAGATGGGTGGACTGATGGCTGAAATGAGCTTGAGCGTTTTTTTCATTTCAATTCTACTTCGACGATTCTCGTAATCTCTTGAACAGAATGGGCGCGTGTTTGGACTCTGCGCAGCTGGCGTTGCTGTAAGCAGATGTGTGTATCAGTCTAGATAGCAATGAATATGCTGTGATTTTTTCCTTGACACATGTTTCATAATGCTCGATGCTATCAATATTTGTTCCGACTAACCAGCGGTGGCTCTTGCAGCGATTAGATTCTCCTATCGGCAGGCTGACGTGATGTTGTGTATGGCGTATTGCTGGGAAAAGACACCCTTTTCGTATTGACGGTCTTTGGGTGAGATGATGGGGTCGAATATAACTCGCGGAGGTGGCATCTGGCTACGCGATCAGCTCATTCTCATTGGTGGGAGCAATCATACAGCTTCAGGACCACTCAGACGCGGCGAGGTTGGTAGACACGACAAGTTAGCCCGGCTCGCATCAAGTTGCGCAGTCGGAAGACAAGGAAGCTGAGGGTTTGGGGAAATTGGTGACCAATCCCGGCTACGAACGTGCCGGATATTCATTCGTTTTTGGCAGAGTTTTGGCCCAATGACCGAGCAGAAAAGTATGAATTTCGATTGGTTGTCATTTTTTTTCTTGGTCTCCTATTGCTACATAGTTGCGTGCGCGCGCGCGCGCGCAAATATTCCCCTTTGCAAGTTGAACACGAACTGATTGTCGGGGGTGGGGGGCCCGGCAGTGTGCGGACAAGGCCGGTTGATTGGTTTTTTTTTCTTGTTTTTTGGGCAGCCCGGCGGAAACTCGGAGGGACTGTTTACTGCCAGAGTAAAACATAATATCAAGGGGAAAAGGGACTTTTTGATTCGCTGGAAATGCAAGCACCGGGGTAACTAGGGGCCGGGAAGAAAAGTGGTGTGCTGTAAATAGTGAGTTTGCCGTGCATATGCATTGCATGTCAGCATGGAGAATGGGGTGAGAGAGATTGAAGGTAGAGACTGAAGAGCCGGAGAGAGACATGAGAGAGTGAAAGTCGGTCGCTGTGGGAAGCGAGTGGATAAATATGGAGGATGGTAGGTTGATAGGACAGCAAACCCGAGTTATGTGCAGGATGCTGATGATGGAATATTTGCATCTGACTTGTGTACGGGGCAATGATTGTCGATGATGGGACCTGAATGCTGTCGTCATTGTCATTGCATTCGAGATATGGATCACTTGATAAGTTGATGCATAAGTGGAAGAAAGTTGCATGATCAGGACCCCATTCATGATCCGTCATTGAAGGCCAAAGAAGGACAAGGAGCTGCGGGATTCCAAGGTGCGAGTGTTGCTATTTTATTGGTGGAGGTTAAAAGGGTTCGATTTTGAATCATCGTTTTGTAAACTATTTGCGGCGGGCGCGCGGAGAATGCTCGCTAGATGGAGAACCATGGAGCGCCACCTTTCGGGGCAACATTATTTGGAGCAAAGGAGCTTGGATGATGATTGGAGGTATGACGGTCTTGTCTTGGCAAGAAGTCATAATGAGGCTGGGTTCGCTCTTTCCCCTTCTTCTCCTTCTCCTTCTACTTCTCCTTTTCCTTCTCCTTCTTCTTGTCGGCGTCGGTGCCAGTCTCGGACAGTCGGAGTCACGTTTGCGAATGGATTTGCGATGTGGTGGCACGACGTGATTGTGCAAAGGGGGGAGGCAGCGCTGCCAAGGACGCCATCCTATCTCGCCTCAAGTAAGAGGTTGCGAGAAATGGCGAGTGCCGCCTGCCTGTCCTTACACTTGTTGGAATATTGGCATCCCACCATCCCACCATCACATCAGCGGAACAAAAAGGAAGAGGAAGAAAGGAAGCCAAGGCCTCCCCCGGCCCGCGCAGCTCACACTAAGCCGCTACGGGCATCGTTTCGACGCCACATTGCTGGTTAGCTCCGGGCCGGGCCCTTTTGCTGGATGTGTGTCGCGGTTCCGGGGCAAGTTTGGCTGCTGATGAGGAGCTGGAGCTGTGTACATAACTATGACAAGCTGTAAAGATGATATCTGGTAGAGCGAGTTGTGAGGATTAGTCTGGGCGGTGCTACTTGTGGTGGCACAGAAATCTCATCTCTCTCTGCCTTGCAAAAGGGAGACACGTAGCCCGTCGCGCTCCCGATGCGCGCCAGTGTCGCAGTGCCGTCGATTGCCTAGCAGGAGCTCGATGAAAAGAACTTTTGGGCCTTGCAAGAGAACCACCCGGCTTACTACCTACCGTTGGAACCGGTTCCATGCCCACTAACCAATAATGATCATTGTGGATAAGGCTGCGCCGGGAAAAAGGGGAAGATGGAACCATTTACACCTGACGCAGTGAACAGTAATAATCAAATGGTAGAGTCGCTCGTTGAGTTCCCTTCCTTTTTTTTTTTTTTTTCTTTTGGTGGGAAACTTCTGGTGAGAAACAAGATGATGATCAATGACAAGTTTCAGCTGACAGTTGCGCAACCCGCCTCGCTCGCACAAGCTGGCGTCGAACGAATTAATAAGTAGAGATATTTTTTTCTTCTTGTGTCTCGGCGCGTGCCTCAAGTGTAGCGCATTGTCTTGCCTTTTGAGAGCTGAGCCCTTTTGGTAACGAATCAGTTTCTACTTCCTTGTTCGATGCTTCTGCAGCGACTGCTCTTTTTCATTGTCAATGGCTGTGACTTGCGACCAAAGCCTGCAACATTGGCAGATCACCACACCTCGACAAGAATAATATCAAACGGTTTGTCCCTTTGGGCGCATCGCCCGAAGGGCTTGTGCATTTCGTTGCTCGCTGCGAACCCTGTCTCTTGGTCTGCGGTTTGGTTTGCGTCATTGGCTATTTATTAGGAGCAAGTCACACTCTTTCTTGCCACTGACATGTTTGCCTCACACGTCCTTCTTGTCTTGCTTTTTTTCTCTGGAAAGAAAATATTTTTATTTTCATTTTTATTTTTTAACCGGCCTCCTTTTATTTTGGAGGTTGCTTAGATATACAAAGTAATCGTCTCCTACAGAGCCTCGAACATCAATATATTGGCTCACGGATCTGATACTGGTTGCAAGGCGGGTAACTACAGCTTAAAGGCCCCCTTACATCAGGCCCCCCGTGTTTGGATCTTCAGCACCGCCACCCGCTATATCTTTGGGGTTTGCGCTAGAGAAGCGCTCTTTTTAGGCCCCAGGCCAAGCCCGCCGGACCCCCCTGAAGCTCATCAGGTCAGCAACTCGCTGCCTGCCTGCCAACCTGCCTACCTGCCTGCCTGCCAACTGCACCACTTCGATCCGGCGTGCCGTCACGCCGCAACTTCTTCATCACCCGTTTTCGCGCTGCCTTGGCTACCTTTTTGTCCACTCTTCATCAACGCCTCTTTCTGCTTCCTCATCACCCTCCTTTACCTCTTCTCGTGAGCCTCGCTGGTCTGCCACATATTAGCTCGCCAAGCGAAAGGAAAAAATTACTCTCGCCCCGCTGACAAATATTTTCCACTGGATCATTTCCACCAGACCATTTCCACCAGACCATTTCAGCTCGACGTCACCCACCTGCCCGAGACATTTCCTGACTTTTCCGTCGTCGCTTCTTTCATCTTTGCCGACTTGTGCCTCTCTCATCTGCAGACATCATGTCCTATTACGAGAATGCACAGTGGGCTGCTGGCCAGCAACAGCACCAGCAACCGCATCAGCAACCGCATCAGCACCAGCACCCGCAGAACAACTGGGACCACCAGAGAACTGCCACACCCGTCCGTACTGGTATGCTGTTGACTCGCCTCATGGCCACGCTTTGCCCTACGTTTGCGCCATATTGACCCCTTCTTTAGGTGCCAGTGCTCCCCAACCTCAGGATGACTATGCCTTTTCCTACCAGTTTGATGGTATGTCTCTTCTCTATTGCACTCCCTTCCGACTCTTCCGTACTCTTGATGCATTTTTTCCCTCGGTACCCCTGAGATGGACCCGAGCTCTCTTTGCATCTAGTATCGCTGACCTGTCCACAGAGGTTGATCGCGCCCACGAGAACCTTCAAAAGTCTGGCAAAGGCTATGCAATGGGCGGACGCCGTAAGTATCACAACTGATGCGAACTTGCATTTCCATCACCCGCCCTGCCTCTTGTCCTATACTCATCTCGTGTCGCAGCAGGTCGCGCCCCCCACGGCCAGGCCTCCCGATCTCATTCCGTCAATAACTTTGACGAACCCCGCGGCCCTCCTGGCCCAAACCTCCAAAACTTTTACGCCGCTCAGAGACACCATCAGCCCTCTCGCGGCCCCAACGATGCCGAGCAGGTGATGCAGGCCAAGAGGCGCATGGCCGCCCAGCGCGAACGAGAACTCCGAAACCTCCACACTGAACAGCAATATCAACGAAGTAGGCCACCCTCTGCAGTTTAGCGACTCCCTGAAAGAGAGCAAATACCCAAATAGAACAGCACTGGCCACGAGTGGAACCACATGTTGATACCCATCCTTTCCGCTCGCTGCGTTGGCCCCAGTCGCTTTCTATCACGGCTTGCTTCTCGTATCCTCTAAATCCAGGGGCCAGCGCCTGTGATTGTCTCTTGCTTTGAGTGTTATCGACTAACGCACCGTCTCCGTAGCTGTTCTTGCTGATACCCCGCACACTACTGCCGCCAACAACGTCACCAACGTTGCCAACGTCAACAATGCCAACGCCAATGCCAACGCCGGCAGCAACAGCAAGCACATGTCCGAGGAAGAGACTCGCGAGCTGATTGCCCGCCAACGCAGTGCTCTGTATGGAGAGGGTCCGTTTGCTGACAAGACGAGCTACGTCGATGAGAGCGGCAACATTCGCAAGGGAGTTCCCGGTCCCAGCGGCGCTTCCAGCCTTCGCGGCGCTTCTCCCATGACTTTCGACGGCATGGGCCGCCCACCTGCTGATGTCGGTACACCCACCTCTGCGAATGACCACGCCCCCGGCCAGAGCGAGTTGAGCCCCCGTCCCAACAGCACTGCCAGCCCACAGACCGCCGCCCCCACCAACAAGGTCTTTGACAACGCTGTCGGTATCCAGAGCCGTACCAGCACCTCTAGCCCTACAGGTGCCTCTCCTCCGCGCGACCTGGCCCCTGGATCCAAGCCTGGTCAGCAGGGCGCTACTGTCGCTCCCATTGGTACTCGTCCCGTCGGCACCCCTACCTCAGGAGCTCAGGCCAAGCGTTCCACCACCCCTCTTGCCACCTCTGGCGGCTGGGGTCGCGGCAACGGTGTATGGGGCCAGAGCTCTTCTGGTCTCGGTGCTCAGGCCAGCGTTTGGGGCTAATCAATTGCCCGTCTATATCTAACTGGAGTTTGGGATGTTTCCCATTTTTTTCTGTCACGGCAAATTGAAAAGGGTGGCGCTACATTATTGTTTTGTTTCTGAAGACTTTGGCGCAGGGAAAACTTTGGACGACGATTGGGTCGGACCAGTACATCAAACGGCGCCAACATCAAAGATCTGGGAAAGTTTTTATCTGGCAAAGGGGTTCATACTTAATTGCGGCATATCGCACCGATGGCACCGTGTGGCATCTATGGGGCGATTGGAGGATACGTGTGGCTATATACCAAGGATCTGGACTTACGGGACGAGGCACGGCAGGTTATGGCCTCGCGACAGGGCATCCATTCGGGAGTTTGTTGTTGCTTTTTGGCACGGCTTTGGGGATTGGCAATCAGAGTGGCATTGCCCACTGATCACGGCGCACTTGTTTTCGTGGTTATGGAAAGTTTATTCGGCATATACGATGGAGCAACTTTACAAACGGTTCTTCGTATCAGCGGTTAGGCGAGGCAAGATGCGACTCGCAAGGGGACAGCAAATTGGAATCGGCGTTTTGAAACTGGTGGGCGCACACAAATTCGCGTGTGCGTGTATTCGCCGAGGACGGCAATCATACTCATACCCCTCCTAGCATGGTTTCCATCAGCGATGATTATTGGTGATTTCTTACAGGGAAGGATCGATGCGCTATTGCGCATGAGCGCACAAAAATAACAAGGCGAGGGGAAGAACTGCATGGTCAGCAGTCACATTTGTGGCATGCGTTGGGCGATGTGCAGACAAGGGAGAATGGGGAAGAAGGAAAAGGACAAGGTTGTCCTTGGGCTGTTGAGCTATATGGATATTTCTCAACTCATTTCTTTGCGTTCTGAGATGTTTGGTGTTTTCGATTGCGATAATGGGAAGAGAGGGCAAGGGCTGCAGAAGGTTCGGCCGGTTGGGATCGGAGTTTGCTTTATTGACTGAGTTTCTTTCTATATCTCCATTTTAATCAGACCGCAACTTGAAATATATTGGGAGTTTTTGCTTTAATGATGAATGGATGGGATGAAATTGGCGAGTCATGGCAGTGGTATCTGAAATGTAGATGGCTAGTCTAATGTACAAGATCTTTACATGTAGCAGTCTACATGTAGAAGTATTCAATGGAGAAACACAAGCATGTCCCGACGTCAAAATGTGTCGCGTCAAGTAACTGCAGGTGGAAATTGTAATCAATTTGGTTGGTATCTCGTGAAAGTGGTATTTGAAACGTAAATGACTTATTCTAATGTACAAAGTGTTTACACGGTGCAACGGTCGATGGGGAAAAGACAAACATGTGCAACGTCTAGACGTCTCCGGTAGAAAACAGCTCGAGATGGATATTGTCTGAATTGACGCCATTGCCCTTTAATTCGTCTCTGACCTGCACCATCCAATCCTTGGGGCCGCAGAGAAAGTACTGGGCGTCGGGCTTCTCCAGCGGCAGGACATTATCAGCGACCAGCTTGGACACGTCGAAGCGGCCCTTGTAGTCGTAATCGTGGCCATGCTTGTCCGTCTCGGCCACGTTGCTGAGAAAGACCTTTGCGGTGACGTTTGCGTTTGCGTCGGCGGAAGCCTGGCGGATGTGCTCGCCGTAGCAGACGGCGTTGGCGTGGCGGGCCGAGTGCGCCCAGGTGACGGGGCGCGGGGCGGCGGCGACGTTGTCGTTGATGCTGTTGGCGCCGCGAATGGCGTCGAGCATGGAGAGGAGCGGCGTGGCGCCGACGCCCGCGGAGAGGAGGACGACGTGGGCGTCGGGACTAATCTTGGCGGCGTCAAAGACAAACTCGCCGCGCGGGGAGCTGAGCTGCACCGTGTCGCCGACCTGGTACTCGGCGTGCAGGCGGTTGCCGACGATGCCGGCGATGCTGCCGGCAGCCAGGTCCTTGACGTCGGAGGGGTCGGCGCCGGCCGTGTTGGGCTCCTGCTTAATGGTGACGCGGTAACACTCGGCGCCAGACGGGCCCGGCGGGCCGGCGCTCAGGCTGTACTGGCGGCTCTGCAGCAAGCCGCCGAGCTCGCGGATCGGAATCTGCACGCTGACGTACTGTCCCGGCAAAAACGGCGGCAGCGGCTTGCCGTCGGCGGGCTTGAGGTAGAAGCTGACGACGCCCTCGGAGACGTTTTCTTTTTTCGCTATGACAAAGTCGCGCCAGTCCTGCCAGGCGCCCGGCTCCTCGTAGAGCTGGCGCTCGCGGCCGATGAAGACGTCGGCGAGCTGGGCGTAGGCGGCCTTCCAGGCGTCTGCGACTTCCGGGGTCAGGGCGTCGCCGAGGACCTCGGCAAAGGCGCCGACGAGGTGCTCGCCGACAATGGCGTACTGCTCCGGGCGGACAAAGAGCGAGGCGTGCTTGTGGGCGATGCGCTCGACGGCGCTGGTCAGGCGCGGGAGGTCGTCAATGTAGCTGGCGTAGGCGAGGACGGAGGCGCCGAGGGCGGCTTGCTGGGCGCCGGTGGCCTGGTTGCGCAGGGAAAAGTAGTTTTTGAGCTCCGGGTGCGCGGTGAGCATGTTGACGTAGAAGATGCGCGTGATGCGGTCGCCTTGGTCCTTGAGGATGGCGGCTGTGGACTTGACAATGTCAATCTGGGACTGGGTGAGGGCCATGGCGGCGGCGGCGGTGGTGGTGTGAAAGGAGGAGGAGGAGAGGTGGAGGGGCTTGAGATTTGCGATGCGCCGAGTCAGAGGCGCAAATCGAAACATGTATTGGAAGCAGACTGCTTCTTTGTATAAACCGCGAGTTTGTGGTGGTCGCGGTTGTTGGTGTAAGTGGTTGGAGGAGGTGGTGGGTGTAGAGACGGATTGTATGAGAATCGGATGGGGTTATCTAACAACTTTATATATATACGCATAGATGTGTGTGTGTGTGTGTGTGTGTGTGTAACTATGTACACGGAAACAAACGATGCAAAAATCCACCGCGGAGAAGGCGGAAAAAGCCAAGCAACAATGCCTTGCATGACCTTTTTGCTCACGGAGGACCCTGCCGACCGCAAAAAAGACAAGGGGCCGGGCGGGCCAGGGGGCCAATGAGATGAGCCTGAAAGCTAATGGAGGCGAGTCCAAAGTCGGGAAAGGGCAAAAATAAAAATAAAAATAAAAGGAAATAAGCTTCCAACAGGGGAGACATCGAAAACGGCCCGCCGCAAAAAAAGAATGGAAGTGGACTGATTTGTTGCTGGTGGTTCGGCATTTTGGGTGGAGACGCTGCTGCCGGCGCGAGTCGGGGACAATGGCCGGGACACAAGCCTTGGCGAGTCTGCGACCAGCAGCTGACTGGTAAAACATTTTCAACTGAAAATGTCTTGTACCGCAATACGTTTTGAGTGAATAGGGCCGCTGTCAAGTTGACAGATTATAACTGTCGTCTTTAAAAAGGATGATGTCGACGCCGTGCATATGCGTGTCTCTGACGGGTATTGGAAAGTTGACTATGCGGAACAACCGCACGCCACAGCCGGCATACGGCTCAAACACAGGGAGGGCGCGCCGGGTTGTCGCATCCGTTCCCGCTCTATCCGCCGCTTGGCTCAGGTCGGGGGCAAGATGTGCCAGCAGCCGCTTGCCAATCAGCCGCTCTTCTTTTGATTTAGACTCTTTTGGTTTAACTAAGCATTTTCCACGTGTTTTTCAGTTGGGCACCGAAAACCGATTTGCTCACTAGACAGACGACCTCTCCCAGTGCCCGACATTACCAATTACTAAAACGCATCAAAGGGGTAAGAAAAAAAAAAAAGGCAATCGTCATGGAGAATGCCATGACTCTTGCGCCTGACAGAGCTCACTAGTCTATTCTAGAAGGCATTGCGGTCGCCTGGCGCGGAAAGTGAGCCGACTTTTTTTTTTTCCTCGTCTGTGGCCCTGCAGCACATCTCCGGGGAGATGCCTCGATTTGCATCGGAGATTCGCGGACGGCAATCCCTTTTGGTCGGGCATGCTAGGTAATAAACTGATGAAACTCGGCAACGCTTGCAAAGGGCCCCTCGTGACTGGGTATTGATTGGAGACTTGCATGACGATGAAAGCTGAAAATAGCTCATGCGAAATAACACCACTATTCTTCTTCTCTTTTTCTTTTGTTTTTTAAAAGCATCTTGGCCCCCTTGCCCGTAGTCTAAAATCAAGAGTGGCAGGCCAATGGTCGGTCGCTGATCCCCATTGTGAGCCACTTCTCGCCCGCGGAGACTAAACTGGTTTGGGATGGGACGATGAAAAAAAAAAGCTTTGACGCGCAGGCCCTCAAAGTTCCCCAGTCACAATCATGGGCTTATTTAAAGAAAGTGTGAGAAGCATGTGGACAAATGTTTGTGGATTGAAGAATGCATCTCCGATGAAGATGAGAATAATGCCGCAGATTACGAACCCATTTTACGCGAAAAGTGAACCTTGATGCGAATAAAAAAGACATGTAAACAAAGGTATTTGTCAGTTACGTATTTATACTTGCGAACCTGAAACTGCCATCAACAAGCCCAGTTCGAGTGATGGGCATCCGGCACAGCTACGGATAGCCCCGTGGCTGCTTCCGTCACGACGTCAGTCAGTCCAGTCCAAGTGTTATTACCAGCACACGCCAAAAAATAATCTTGAGATGGGAAATAAGAATCTGCGGCGCCGTCCCGCAGGCTGCGCTGCTGCCCGTTCACCGCCACCCGTGGGCCAAGAGTCGAAGACAGCGGGATGCTGCTGTGGCCGTCGCGCCGGCGTGTCTTCTTCTCCTGGCCCGGCGGCGGCCCTCTAGTTGGCGGCGCGTCCGGAAGGAGTAGGAGGAGGAGGAGGAGCAGCAGCCCTCTGCCGGCCCAGATTGCGTCAGGGGTTCATCTCGTCCAAACGTGTCGCCTGTGCTCGTTGTGCGCGTCTTGTCCGGGCTGAGCCACAGCCGACCACTGGCGAAGCTCGCTCCGGTAGTTGATCTTGGCGTCCTGTGTCCAGCGCCGCCGCCGCCGCCGCCGCGCCCCAGCGACACTACAGCCGGGTCACCATCCGCCCAACAGCACCATATCTGACGAAAATCTGTTTTGCGAGCCTCTGCACCGTCGCTGTCTTGCGGTGGCTCGCCACGTTCAATGATGGATATGTAATGATGGATACGTACGGCCCCCGTTGATGTGGTTTGTTTACACCGTCCGGGCTTGCTCGGCCGCGCCAGGCGACGGGATGCGCCTGAGCACCCCCGCCCCGCCAGCCCGCCCATTCACCGCGATCTTCACCGACTCTGCACCATTCGCCATGAGTCGATACTAGCGCGGCACAATCTCTTCAAACCCTTACTTTCAACTAAACTATAGGGAGCATTGAAAAAAAAAAGAAGTAAAAAAAAAAGATCTGCGTCTTCCTACAGCAGGGTGGCCAAGTTTGGGGCCATGTCCGAGTGCTTAGATGGAGAAACAGGCTAATGCCAACAACTCGCATATTCAGGTCGTTCTGTCTTTCAAGTAGTTGGTGCCCTAGATTGAAGAACTCGAACTAAAACAGACCGGGAAAACTCATTTGGAGTCTAGCAAGGATCAAGGTGGCAAGCTTTTTGATCCTCGGGCGCTGTAAACGGTTGGAACTATCAATAAGCGATTCCGGAGCAAGTGCTTTGCGGCCGTTCGCATAGTGACGATTGCCATGGCGCTCTTCAAAGCTATTCGAAACACAGTTCCGTGAATCCAGGCTCTGAGGACGGATGTCCAATGGTCGGCCACTTCGTCACTAGCACAGCAAATTAAGAGACCGGTACGACCATGGCGTCACGTCAAAGCTCATTCACCCGCGCCAACTTGATGGTGATACTCGGGGCAACTTGCATAAGCGCGTAGTCATCAGCAGCTGTGCATTTATGCAGCTTTGCAAGCTCGTGTTTTGTGCCGAGGCTATCCGCCATCCCACGTTGACAGACCCGACACTTTCATCTTCGAAATCGCAATGGCTGCAATTCATTGCATGTCTCTTGGTCTACTTCAAGTGGTTTGGTGTACAGATACATAATACAACGCCTAATATCCCGGCGTACAAAAAAGTTTGTGTGTCAAAAGCAACGCTATGCCCCTCGTATCAGACGGAAAGCATAATTCCCTTTCCTTTCTTGTTCCTCAGGGCAAGTAAAAGTATATGTAAAATGGCGCCGAGATTCAAGTTTGCTTTTTCCCTTTCCCTGGATAGTGTCGGTCGTCTTCTCCGTTCGACCGTGGTGATGCAAGCCTTCGCGAATATCTATTCAAGTCGTAATTTGTTCAAATCAGTGGTGTGGTGAGTGTCTGAATGCGCATCGATAGCGTCGTCATCGATTTCTCAATAATTGCTTTATTTATGCAATGGCAGCGTTTTCGGGAGGAGGCAGAGGCGCCTAGATCACGTTAGTACATGCAGTCCAGGGACATTGACAGCTGGGCGCATTTTTCATACCTCTAGCTTGGTGTTGCCAGCCATCATCTTGCCAAACGCGATGCCGACACCCTCGATAACGGCCAGCAGCACCGCACAGCCAATGGCGCCGTTGCGCGCCGACTTGAAACCACCGCGCATGGCCAGCGAGCCACCAGTGAGGAAACCGGCCGTAATGGCATTCCACGGGTCCTCCTTCTGGCGGAAGCCCTTGACCGCGCAGTCGAATGTGCTGAAGAGACCGCCCCAGACGCCAAAGTTGCCGCCCAGGACGGGCGCGCGCATCTTGATGGCCGTCAGCGCGCCGATTCGCCGCTCGCCGTAGGGGCTGTTGCGAAAGCCCTTGATGCCGTGCCAGATGGTACCGCCGACAGCCTGCCAATACATGTCAGTTTTTCTTGTGCGACTCGAAATCGCTGCGCTGCGAATCTGCGAAAACGTACACCCATGGAAAAGGCACCGCCGAAATCATTCAAGATGACCCAGGGGCAAGGGTCTCGTCCATGATCCATCGCCATTGCGGAGTGTGTATAAAAAGTATTATTATTAAAAAAAGGCGTCAAAACAAAAAAGGGCTCAGGACAAAAAAGAAGCACAAGAGCCGCGTTTGCCGGGGTTAATGGGGAGGGAGTGGATTGGCTGCTCTGAAGCTCAAGATGACGGAACAGATTCTTTTTCCTTCTTTCCTGAGCATCCCGATGCACGTGACTCAATCTTTTTGCTGGACATTTTTGCGGGCCCCTGGCAGCGGGCCGGTTGGCGGCAGAAGTCAAAGCACAGAAGCTGCTAAATAGTAAAATACCACGTACTAACTAAAAATAGGATAGTAGCAAGTAAATACTTTAAACCCTACCTAGTTAGGTATGCATACTAATGAATTAATTCAGCACCTGCCGTGCCGTCACAGACAATTCTTATAAATGTTCACTTTTGACGTTGTCTGGACTCGTTAGAAAGTCAACAACCATGACACCACAATTTAATTTATCATCAATCGGCACACATTCAAGAAATCGTAACTATTGGTGCGTTCTAATGTATACTTTGGCTCTGCTAAGCGTTTGCTAATTATTTACGTCCGATGGCAGTGATCTGATATGGGACTCCAAGTGTGGAGTGTGGAGTAGAACGTGGCGTGGCGAGCCTCGTGCGAGGCTATGGAAGCTTGACTAGAACATTGCTTCGTTGAGTTAAACACTGCTGCCAATTTGTATCTTGGCCGTGAATAGCACATGCGCTCGAGATTATACCGTTTCGCCGGCAGGACATATCGAGGTTGGACCAGCCTTACAGAGGTAAGTGCTTGCTATGGAGGCGGTAGACCAACATGACTTACATGCAGGACAGACTACGCTGTCGGCCCACACCGTCCACACACTGACACATGAAAAGAACGGCGAAAGCGGCAGACAATACGGCCATTGAGGGACGAAATCTCTATTAGACCAAAATTATGTTTCAAGAGGAAGTTATGGCGAACGAGAGAACGACATTTCAAGAACTGGGCACTGCCAAACGGTTCGCTCCCGAGTCAATCCACAATTGAACGCATCCATTGTTAGAGCTTGCTTTCCCCAAATTCACTGTGTGGCATTATGCAATGGTCTGGTGTAATATTGGTAGAGAAGCCAGAAAACTAAATTCATCAAATATATTGCAGGTATCTACGCCATAGGTGATTTTTGTGCAATTTAGCTTGGGTGAACAAGACTAAAGCCATTCAATCAAGAGTACAGGCCTGCGTGACTTGCCAGCTGGTTCACAAAAGCCAAAATATGGAATAGCAGATCTTGAAGCCCGTGAATACAGCGCAGCTTGGATCGATTATAAGCGACAGCATAGAATGGTTGAGTATGGCCGTGTACAGCCAGACGCGTGGCAGCATGAGCGCCCATTGTCCCCAGCGACCGCAGCGGCGTGTCAGCGGCTTGAGTGCCCAACCTGCGTAGAGTTCGAGGCCAGGATGGCTCTCGCGCCAGACGAGGTATGGAATCATGAGGATGAAGATTAAGGAGATACCATTGGGGAGAATAGCAGGGAATTCGGGGTGTGCATCTCGCTCGGGCAGCATGCGAAATGTGGTCGCTACGTCGATTCCGAGGAGCCACAGGCAAAAGGTTTCAAGGCGTGCAAACGGACGCAGAAGAACAGTCGCGATGGTAAAGGCCAGTCGAAGATTGGCTTCGAATGCGGTTTCTTCCATGGCGTAAAACGAAAATAATAGGGTAGGGGTGACGCGGATGGGAAGAATAGCGAAAGGTCCGTACTGATTCTTGTGTTTGGAGAGCGACTGTATGTTCACGGGTGATGTCGAATGTAGGAGTAACGCGCCGTAAATGTAGTCAGTGGGGAACAGAAGAAAGTTTACAGATGGAATTTTTGGCAAAATGTAAATGTTTTTCTAAAAGGCAGAAAAAAAAGCCACCATTGTGGCACAACCACAAAAGCTACAAACGAAGGCGGCGCCTGGGGAGGCGCGCTTGAACAAGGCGATCAAGGCGCTAGGCGTGTATCGAGGGCGCCTGCAAATATTTTCGAGCACATGGACAGGTGGGTTATTAAAGTAGATTTAGCAATGAGAAACAGTCTTCAATTTAGAAACGCGGCCTTAGCTATCCAACCCATGAGCAGAACATACCAAACCCAGCAATAATACCAAGGACGGGCTTACTTGTATGCTTTCTTAATACGGCCTCCTTGTGTCAGCCTGACAGACTTCTCACCAGGTTTGCGATGAAGATCCCGCCGGCGGGGCCCTCGAATCGCTCGGATGCTCGCAGCAATCTCGGCAATCTCAGCTTTTTGCTCTTCCTCAATCTGTCGGCCAGACGTCCGTACCGCTTCCTCGTCATTAGAGCTTCGCGCTTCCTTAACCTGACGGCCGGACGTCGGCACCGCTTCCTCGTTATCAGAACTGTCTAATCCTACAATCGTTGTTCCATTTTCCTTCCAGACCGTATCGCCGGCTAGGCTTGGTGTGTCGTCATCATCTGCGTGCTGGTCCGTTGCCACGCCCCAAAAAGCTTGTCCTGACTCGGTAACAAAAATACTCGCCTTCAACGGACTTGCCTCCCGGTACGTTGATCCGAATAGGCCTCGTCCTTGCTCGTTTTCAGAGTTTCGCAATCCACCAGCCTCCAATGTACTTGGCTGCCAGGCCGCTGTGCCAAATAGTCGTCGGTAAGTTTCCGCGTTATATCCACCTCGTACTGTCTTGGATTCAGAGCTGCGCGCTCTAGAATCACTCACTGTACTTGTCTCCCGCGGCAACATGCCGAAGAGGCCTCGTCCAAACGGATTATCAGACTTCCGCGCTTCACCAGCCTCCAATGTACTTGGCTTGGTGTGCGTTGTGCCGATTGGGTCCCCGAATCTGACTCGTCTTTCGATTTGCGTTCCGAGCGAAAGACTTAGGCCGTCCCAATCCTTCACCGTTGCCACCAACTTCTGCACCGGCTCCGAGAGATTTCCAGAGAGATTCTTCAGGTCCCGACGGAATGCCACGCTTGGCATTTCAATCTTGGTGGAAGGAAAACCATTCTGACTGTGACGACTGAATAATCGCTCTGCTGCCAGTGCAGCCACAACTTCCCAAGACCAATTCAGAGGCGGAGTATCAGAGCCATGCGGCGCTTTGGTGTTACAGATTTTGGAAACATCAACAGGCTGCCGGATGGTCACGATGTGTTCGATTTCCCATGTCAATTCCATAGCCAGCAGGCAGGCGGGGTGACCGTTGCCCCATGGCTCTTCCGGCCTTGGGCCATCCTCTGGCCATTCTCTGTTCCAGATTCCCCATCTTTGCCACTGGTCAACCACCCACTTGCGGGCGACCTTGGTCTGTGATTCTGTGTCCCCAAACATACTCTGCTCGATTTGCGACGCGAGCCATTCTTGCTTTTGCTGATATTGTCGCAGCTCAACCGAGTAGTCGAATCGATTTCGTGGTGTGTCAGCCGACCCATGGTTGTTCAACTTGATCCCGGGTCCAGCAGCGACATAGTTTGACAGATATGGCGGTCGCGAGGGCGGATCAGGCTGTGGACCCTTTGTAAATGTAAATGGTTTATTGCTCTCGTTTAACATGACGATTCATTAGATATGTCGATGGTAAGTGTAGTCTTCCTCAGTGAGGTGCGCGAACCGCCTTTATATTGCACAGCGAACAAGAGCTGGACGCACATTGTCGGAATACTGTGCCGCACACTGTCGGGATACTGTGCCGCACACTACAGCGCCACAGCGCGTATGTGTACCTAATAATAATTGTACCTAGATGCAAAGTGATATAGGTCCTCGGCGGCTAGCGAGACTGACGTTGGGCTACGGTTACGTATTCAATTCCCAGACATCCTCAGGGTCTCAGGTTCAGTCCT